TGATATATCATTCAACATGTTACAGTATTATAAGTAATAAAAATATTATTTATAACAATAATAACTAAAAATAACGCCTTCATTTTTTTTTTTATATATACCATATGTTTAATACCTTGTATAATAGTGTTATACCAATGTATACTACAAACTTAAATCTCTAGCTGTAAATTATTTCACCGATCAATTATTCAGATAATTAATTGTTAAATTATGCACAAAAATACTGGTTGCATTCAATTATTTAATATTTATACTCAAGTTAAATCAATATTGTAAATAATCTTTGTATCTAATTTAGGGCAATATCCTAAACGGGTTTTAATAAAATACAATCATTTTTAAATAAATTACTCATATTTATAAAACTCAACCACCGTGCACGAATAAAAAGTAGATTAGCAGTTTCATATACCCCATAATCTCATATAGATTGTTCTTCGCAGTTCAATGTTACTAATTTTGTAAAAATGTATTATAATATATTAAAGTAAGATGTGTAAATATTAAATAATATATACATTACAATTATTATATGGTAAATGTGATTCCATTTATTCCTATAGGTACGAAAAACTAATCTGAACAAAGACAGACCGTCAGCATAAACCACTAAGTAAGTAAATTGCATGTTTTTACTTTTTGGTATACTAAAATAATACTTACATATTACAGAAAGTTGATTTAATTTTTCCGAAAATATAGCAGTTAATATATTATAATAATAAGTTCTTTACCATATTATATTGTTATTATTAACTTTTGAATCAATTAGCTCTTCATCGTAAAAATAAAGTGAATATGTTCATTCACGGTATGAATTTAATCTTACTATTATTATACTACTATAAAATAATCATAATTAGTAAATTATTGGGATTTTGTCAAAATTTATATACGGGTATATTTTGTTTAATATAGGTTGAAAAATTAATTATTAAAAATTTTATGAATTTGTAACTTCAAAATCATTTTCACAATTTTTATAAAACTCTAGAATTTAAAAGATTTATGTTCAAATTGTTTTTTATTTCTATAAATATTAAATTATAAATAACCTTACATTAAATTGTCAAGCATTTTTACGAGTGATAAGGTTTTTATCAAAATTTATAAAAAAAAAAAAAATGAAAAATTTTAAATGTCTTTAAATAACACAAAAAAAGTCAAATTATTTTAAAATAATATAGGTGCATAGACAATTATGATACAAATACTAAATTGAAAATTTCAAGTTTTTACGATTATTTATACTTGAATTATAATAAAATAAAAAATTAATTTTTTCGAAAAATTGTTTAGCATAAAAATTCTCATTTTTTCCTGATTATCAAGAAAATTTCTGGGAATTCATTTTGACTTCTTTAAAGCATAAACTAGATCAAATTTTTTATCAAAAATTAAATCATTTTAAATGTTCTAAAAGTTGAAAACAAACAAAAAAATACACACTTACAAATTATTGTAAAATTAATATATCGCTCCGTTCCGAATTGAAAACAATTGATAAAAGTATGAAAAAGAGAAAAAATTATAATTTATAGTCTGTAAAAATATTTTATTGCTTTAATAAACATTATTTTATTCGGTTCATTCATTAGTAAATATATTGATTATATTAATTTTTTAAAAGTTATAATCTAATATTCAATAGGTCTCGACTCTCGGCAGTTACTGCACGATATTATCAACTAATCCGGTAGTTTTCCACCTAAGACTCACGCAGAGCAGAACGCATAAGATCGTAGTTAAAATATGTATATATATAAATTTGTACTATATGTCTAAATGCAAACAAGAGGGTAGACTTAATCCAATGGCATGCACTATACGCAAATACTCATAAAGTTAGGCATGAGTAAAAATTCGGCACAGCATTCGGAGGATTAACGATTTTTAAATTGCTTGCGATAAACGGCCTCCCTCTTTATTTTACGTTGTGTATATATATACATATATATATATATATATAGCATATAATATGGTATAAACTAATCCAGGGCGATGCCACCGCGAGACGTATAATATATACGATTCGCGGGGGAACTTACAGCGAGGTCAGATCAAGCAGTGTTAGAATTTAAAAACGAACTCGCGCATACAAATATTACACGAAATCGGTCAAAGTCGAAAACAGTTGTTTGTAATTTAGTCATCGTCACGGAAATCACGCGGAGTAACATGGAATTCATATAATATAGATGTTTTACGCTGCACGCAAATCCGTCACAAATGCATATGTAAAAAAAAAAAAATAATAATGTATTACAGTTCGTTGAGCTCGAGGTGTTTATAATAGTTATAAATTATAATATATATGATATTATAGGTATTAATTCAGCTATAAAATTACTACTAATAAAGGAGGCTTAGCTGCTTAAGGAGAGACTGAGTTTCTCAAAATTATATCAAGTTTATTTTGCAAAATAAATTTAATCGAAATCAATCAATTTTTAAATTTAATTTAATAAATAATATCGAAAAATCATATACTTGACATTTTGTTTATGTGGTACCAAATTTCTACTAAGTGATTTAAACACAATCAATAAGAACTAATGTTATTTTTCGTGAAAAATGTTTCATCAGGAAAATCTACATATATATGAGTACAAGTCAAATGAGTCAATTACTCCGTTTGCCTAATAGATATAAAATAAATATAATAAGTAAAATCTATTCAAATAGTGATTTTTGTTTTGTACATCAATAACCATAGTTGAGAAGTATGAGACCTCATGTATTTTTAAATTAATGTTATGTTGGATTTAAGTTCTTATTTGTGCCTATACTCTATGTAGTGGTAACATTTTGCGAAATAAATTATGATTTAATATAATATATTATGACATAACTACAATACACGAGAGAAGCAAAAAAACCGTTTCATGATTATACGTTTTGCTATATCAGTAAAGTGATATCGGGTATTTATCGTACATGTATTCAGTGGAGATTTCGATGATATTATAATTTGTCGTTTATTTAAAGAAGAATGCTACTTAAATTTCACTTTGTTTTAGGTTATTAAATTTAAACTTATTAGTAAGTAATAAATAGTAAGAATAAATTTAATAAATTAAAGTAGGATTTTTTTTTTTATAAATATTATGATACCATTATTTCTACTGTAATTTTGACGTACTGAATACAAACTATACATTTAATGTGTGTTTATTAATTTTAATAAACGAATAAAAAATTATTATAAATATATCTACATAACCACTTTTTTTCTTATTCAAATAGAGAATTTACAATCTGTAACACATTATGTACAATAAGCAAATACGAGTAGGATAAAATATGATGTGAAGAATATTTATATGGTAATATAGTATTATAATAGTATGAAGAGGGAAACTGTTCAGTGACAGAATCCTTAATGCAATATTATGGTTGAGGATTTAATAAATCCCTGCACCAGCATATTTTTTACTGATGGTGGGGGGGGGGATTTTCTGGCAAATTAGATCCGCCTTGAATCGCTATAAGTGGCTTGTTTAGAATGGAATTTTTTATAATGGTTAAATGCAGTGTGTTAATGGTTTCAATGTTAAGGTCATCGAGGAGCGAATTGTTAGAAGCATACCAAGGTATAGAAGTTAGTAAACGGAGAGTAATTGATTGGAATGCGAGTTGTTTTTCTTGGAGGAGGGAGGGGATGTGTTGGCGCAGCCTTATAATTGTGTTATGTAGGCCCAAATGGGGTCCTAAAACCAAATTTTTTTATAAAATATTTGGTATATTGCCCATTAAATTACTCCGTAAAAATTTGTAATCATGTTTTTGATTAAAAAATCATCGATCAGCAGCTTGTACCTGAAACGTAATAGAACACAATGTAATATTATAGTAAATACGTTATGCAGCATATAAAATTAGATATTGACCAAAGATTCATTGAATATTTAAGTCCTTGTTTTTTCAATTCCACGAAATAATCATTGTATTTATGTCAAAAAAACTGTTTATAATTGGCTTCTAGATGGATTTTAATTCTAACTTATAATCAAATCTCTTTTTATACGAAACCGATTAACAATTCAATTACTCATACTTTATTCATTTCTAAGTACCTACTTATATATCAATTATTTTTTCTCTTCAACTCTACACACTACTGTTTGTATAATAGGTGTGCTTACAGGAAGTGTAGATTAGAGTGAGTTGTTTTCTTTGAATAAGCAAAAAAAAAAAAACAAAAAAAATCAACCAAGCGACTTGTGATTTCACGATACCTATTATCATATTATATTGTCATTACGACAGCGAATACCGAAATGTGTCTCCCCCCCTCACCGTCGTTCACACCCGCTAGAGCGGCGTGTAGGTACGGTACACCACGAAAAGTCGATCCTCCGCGCGCGTTTTAAGGGCCACCGCCGCGGCGAGAGAGTAGGGAAAACGAAACGCGCGCGCGGCAGCATCGCCCGCGGATTGCGCGCGCATTATCGCCGGATGACGACGAACGAGCGCCGAAACGAAGCGGCCGCGTCGGCGAGGGCGGGCCACCTCGGATAGGCGAACGGGGTAACCGCCGGCGGCCGGTTACTACGAAACAGCACTACAACAGTTCGATGTTTTGCGCCTACGGCCGCAATCGGACCGTCCCGAATGCCGGCGCGCGCGCACAGGCATCATCTGTGGCGGCAGCGGCAGCACCAGCTACGCACCGGGTACACCGTACGCGACGCGCGCGGGCACTAGCGTCGACGACGTCAACGCGTGCACTGTTCGTTGGTAGTCTAACACGCGCGCGCGGGGTGGAGGAAACCGTGCTATATACATAACCGCCGCCGCCGCCTCGGCCGTACACCAGTGTTCGTACAAAAAAAAAAAAAAAAATAAAAAAATATATATAACACAATAAATACTGTTATCAATCGCCGCCACCGCCGACTGTTAATATTTTACCGCACATAATAATATTATAACAACTGCTATTCAGTATTTTTATTGGCAATAAAATATAATAACGATATTAAAATATTATTATCATCGTCGTCCGTTTTTAAATCGTTATTATCATCATCGTCATTCACTCGTCACCGTCGTCGTCGTCGTCGTCGTCGTAGCTGTTGTATAGGCAACCGCGTTACTCGTAATCGCAGTAGTAGTAGTAGAAGTAGTAGTAAGTAGGCTGCGGGCAGACAGGTAGGTAGGTAGGTGCACACGGTCTTTTCTCGAACGCGTTGTACCTGCCGCCGCTAGTCGTGCCGCCGTCGCCGTCGACGCGTATCTCGAGCAATAGGCTATTTGGTAACCGACCGCCGATCTGCCGTCTTCGTTACACTCGTTACGTCTTGTTCGGTGTGTGTTGTGACTCGTGATAACGACGTGAAAATAGTAGATTCGATACAATCATTACTACTCGGTCGTTTGTTGTCGTTATGTACTGCGTGTGTGTCCGTTTGGAATAGTTGTTAGGCGTGTACGGGCGAAAAAGAGAAACAAAATTTGAACCGCGGCAAGTGGTGGTGAACGAAGCAAGGAAAAAAAAAATCAACACGCAAACCGGAAGATTTCGTCGGGTCGCGCGCGCATACATACTCACACGCACACGTACGACTCGCGCGCGCACACGCTCACACGTAATATAATATAATATTATATTATTATTATTATTGCGCGGTCGGATTTAACACATACGCACAGACATTGGCGGCGCGCGGACACGAAGACGTCAAAAACGGTTAACGGTGTCATTGATGGGAAGTGGTGGACGTCAGCCCGGGCATCCGGAAATCAGCCAAACTGGAACTGATGGAATTAGAAAACATTGTTGCCAATACCGTGTACCTCAAAGCAAGAGAAGGCAAGTACCTATTGTAATCCGTAATCATTATTACCATTATCATGATTCATAATTTTTTATGCGGACGTGATCTTCGAGGGTTAGGGTATTTGGGTCGCCGAGTCGGAATTATCGACATTTGTCCAGGGTACGTGATCGTGAGGCGCTCCTCACGTAAACTGGTGTTGTATGCGGTCAGGGGGTTCGGTCGCGTGTGTTAACGTTATTAAGGGGCGCAAATTTCGTGGCAAAAAAGGGATTTTCGACCATTTTTTTTTTGGAGAGGGGAGGTCCCCTTTTTCATTTACCACAACCCTTCACTCACTTGCACCACTCCGCCACGCCTATCACCAATGCAACGGTTTTAGGCGACCCCTTTGACCTATATATATACATATATATATATAGAGATATATATGTATATGAATATTGTATTGTACAGGTACTCACACCTATATCTATATCATGTGTAATGTTTCTTTGTACAAATACATGATACTGTTATGTATAATGTGCATGTAGATACGTCAACCATGTCAATGTTTTCAAACAAATTCACAAACTTGGTCAGGTACATCGTCTTGATAACCGCCTTATTATTCTACAATGACTACTTTTTACCATGAATTTACATTTACGTCCTATTGATGCACCCTTACTCTTTATTATAATTATTTCAGGAAAGGTTTTATTTATTTTTGTACTATACTATTGAGTTTAATTCATTTTCTTTAAGTGATTTGTATTATAAACATTTTCAATGAAATTCAGATATTATTTATTCATACTTTTGTTATTACTTAGATGGTTTTCTGTATGTCGTATTAATCAAGAGTATTCGTTTGCACACTTTTGTTCTTTTAAAAAAATTTTAACATTTTTCTTTATACTGTATAAAATGATGTTAAATAAATAACTAAGTACTTAATACAATTTATATATATTGGTAACTATTATATCCATTTCCGCTGTATGTGATGTGTTATTACAATACTTATATAGTACCAAACAAGATATTGCTTAATTTCTAATGTGATAATGGTATAAGTCTAGGTATAAATTATTAACTGATTTTATTTTTAAATTATTTAAAACTAACCAATGTTTAATATGTAATAAATATTGTCAAATAGGTAAATACAACTCGCAAATATGGGTTAAAGTCATATTTAATTTTATTATTTAGTTTCAAAAGAATATCTATAATTTGCTCAAGATATTTTTATATAAGATCTAGGTATTGGGTATTCTTTAGTTCATTACTAAATATTATGAGACTAATGAGCTACCAATTTACTACTAGTTTTTAATTAAATTAATGTTCTTATAGGTAGGTACTGCAGTTCTATTTATTTAATATTATTTATTATATTATTTAAAAACAATGTGTTTTGCACTCGTATATTAATATTTTAATTGTTTAATTAGAAAAAATTGTACAAAAATATTTTGTTTACCAGCAGTGTATTGTCTTACCTATTACTTTACAAATATTTTGTAGGTACTTACAAACATTGTATATACTTGGTATTTAAATATTTAGAATAGCTTTTAATTTTTAATTTTTGATTATTAATCAATAGATATATATTATATGTTACATTGTAGGTACTCCATTTTATTGTATCACAAGGAATTTAACAAGGTTTATGATGAGTACATTTTGTGTTTATTTTATAATGATTTAATTGCAATAATTGCATTATCCTTTTTATCCTTAGGTATTAAGTTAATTTATTAATGTTGCTTATTGAATATAATCTTAGATAAGGTAGTATAAAATTGTTTTCAAACAATTTAATTTCAAAGTAAATCAATAAAAAAACAATATTTTAATTAGTTTTAATTTAATATAAACTTATGCAATAACAGATGTGTATTTGAAGGATATTAATTAAACTTTCTTTAGTTATATCATTTAATTAGTTTACTTTTTAATTTATATAAAAACTATTTAAAATGTTTCCTGAGTTTGGTCATATGTCGTGTATGCATGAAAGTTTTAATTTGCATAAGTTCTACAATTTTAATAAAATGTAGTAGATAGTACCTAACTTACACCTATCAAAATTCAATGTTGTATGTTTTTCTAATATTGGATTGAGCATTAGATGCAAATAGAGTTCAGTTAAGAATATGAGGATTAAGAGCATACATTTAAAAAACATAAGCAACTATTTTTATACTTTTATTTCTCTGAATATTCAAAGATTCATATTTATATCTAGGATTGCTTATCATAAATGGTCACAAATTATTTTTGAAAAAAAAAACTAATTGCTTAGTAATAATAACATTTGCTATTTAGCATTTATCCATAGTATTGGAACTGTCTTAGTACTTGTGTATCATTAGAATTAATTTCTTAGTATTAAGTATCATATTGATTAATGTTGATAAACTGAAATTAAGTATTGTTCAAAGTAATTATTAAGTAGGTACACTGTATTTCGTTTAAGTTTGTGTAATTATAGATTATAGTTACCATTTAAGTTCAAGTTAAATGTGTTCTTTGCTGTTATGTATACTAGTATTTTACTGAATAACTCGTTGTATAGGTGATAATATGAAATTATTATTATGAATGTTTTGTAATTTTTATTGTAAGTTAGTTGCTCTATTTTCAGTTTTATCAATATTTGCGGTCTTGATGTTTTATAAAACATTTATTTTATAATTAAAGCGTTAAGTTATTGATATTATTTTTAATTAAATTTTCTTTTCTCTTAGGTATTAGTTTTTTTTCTTTCTTTTTTTTTTTTTTTTTTATATTGATTATTTAGTTTTAAATTTTAAGTCAATAGATCTGATTATAGTTTGTTTTGTAATATTAGTTATTATTAGGCAAGTCATATTTTTAAAACAGAATTTAGTAAATAGGTATTTTTATTTATATTAATTATTTGCAATTGAAAAGTATAAGCTAGCTTAGTGTCTGATGTCAACACGCTATAATTACAACAATAATAATGAGCTTACAGGTACTTACAATGCATAAAATAATAGGAAGGTAGTAGTATCTTTAGTAGTATTCGTTAATTTCAAACAATCGTCTTTAAATGCCTTTCATTGTCTATTATTGAGGTTACCATTTGTACATTTTAACAGTTATAATTTGTGAAAAAAAAATTAATCTTTTTTATAATGTAGTGAATTATATTGAAATATTTTATAGACGGATATAAATTGTAATATTTCTTATGTTGAATCTTGTATAAGAGTTTTTTAGCAACTATATCTCGCAAATATAATATTAATATATAAGCAATTGTTATTAGTAATCATTGTTTCATCAAATTGTTTAGAAATATATTTTAATTAAATTATCATATTTTTAATTCAAACAATATGTCTTTTGACTTACTTTCTTTAATTATTATATTTGTTTTTGTTTATAGGTGGTACAGATAGCAATAAAGGGAAAAGTAAAAAATGGAAAAAAATCCTGCAATTCCCACACATATCTCAGTGTGTCGATTTTAAACCATTAATAGGTAAATTATTAGATTCAAAATTTGAAAATTTATTTAAACTTATATGTATTATTATCATTTTAAAAATTATTTATGTTTTAGATATGAAATACAGCTATGTTATAGATCAACAGCCAATTGGTCGGTTACTTTTTCTTCAATTTTGTGAAGAAGAACGACCAGAATTTCATCGTTACAATGTATTTTTAGATTCTATTGTAAGTTTAAATTAAAATACACTAATTTTTTTTTATGTATCATTCAATGTTTTTATTATTCTGAATTGTTAACAGGAAAAATATGAAATAGAATCAGATGAAAATAGATTAGAACTAGCAAAAATACTTTATGATAGATATATAAGAAGAGACGTAAGTATATTAATCATTATTTAATTTTGATTTTTCTTACATGATCATTAAAAACTAACTGCTTTTGGTATTAGGCAGTTAATGCAGTGGATGTACTAAGTGAAGACATGATAGTTAGATGTCGGAACCAGTTAGACTCTGCTCATAGAGAGTTATTTACTGATTGCTCAACTGCCGTAAAAACGTTCTTAGCTGGTCGTCCATTTAGTTTATTTGAATCTTCAATGTATTTCCATAGGTTTTTACAATGGAAGTGGTTAGAAAGGTGTGTATGTGTTTTAATTATGTAATGGGAAGTATAGTGTTGTAAATAGAGTAAATTAGGTGAGTATCTAAGTTTGGTATTAATTTTTTTTTTTTTTTTTAAGGCAAACTGTTACATATAAAACATTCCGCATGTATAGAGTACTTGGTAAAGGTGGTTTTGGAGAAGTTTGTGCGTGTCAAGTCAGAGCAACTGGCAAGATGTATGCATGTAAAAAATTGGAAAAGAAACGTATTAAAAAGCGAAAAGGTGAAGCAATGGTTTTAATCGAAAAACAAATCTTACAAAAAATCAATTCTAGATTTGTGGTATGTTTATATTTATTTATATTTTGAAAAATATAATTTATGCATTTTAAGTGTATGAGTAACAAGTTTGTGGATATTCATATTATTTGATTTGATTTTAGGTTAGTTTAGCATATGCTTATGAGACAAAAGATGCACTGTGTTTAGTGTTAACTATTATGAATGGTGGAGATTTAAAATTTCATATTTATAACATGGGCTCAGAACCGGGTTTTGATATTCCAAGAGCACGATTCTATGCTGCTGAGGTAATTTTATTGTTTTCATTTACTGTGAGCAAAATTAACTTTAGTTTAAGTTAAAATTATTTTTTTTTCTTAAAACTTTTAATAATTTATATTTGATTAAAACTAACTAAGTCTTAATTAAATTTTATTTTATTGCCTTTGAATTAGTTGTAAAGTTAAAATTAATATAGTTTATATTTTGAAAAATAAATATGTTTATTGTAATAATATTAACTAATTATCACTTGTGTATAATATAATGGTCTGGTCAATTTATATTATAAAGTAATATTTTTTATTTAATGCACTAACTTTTGTATAGTTTATACTTGATGTATATAAATGCTAATTAATTAATTTTATTTTAGGTATTATGTGGATTAGAACATTTACATGTTCAAGGCATAGTTTACAGAGATTGTAAGCCTGAAAATATACTCTTGGATGATGCAGGGCATGTTCGTATATCTGACCTAGGTTTAGCAATGGAGATACCTGAAGGTGAATCAGTCAGAGGAAGAGTAGGCACTGTTGGTTATATGGGTAAATAAAAATTGAATTTTTAAAAATAATATCTATGTATTTGCTAATTTAAACAATTATTTTATTGTTCTTTTTATCTTATAGCACCAGAAGTAATAGATAATGAAAAGTATACATATAGCACAGATTGGTTTAGTTTTGGATGTTTAATATTTGAGATGATTGAAGGTCAAGCTCCATTTAGAGCTCGAAAAGAAAAAGTAAGAAAAAAATGTATATGTTTCACTATTAAATATGATAAATAAATAAAATTAATATAGATGGTGTAAGCAATAGATGTTTTATATTGTATTAACAAAAAAAAAAAAAAAATACTTATATATGTATGTTACGGTCCAGGTAGAAAATTGATTGTTATAAGAAATATGCGGGCAATGTGTATAATGTTAAGTAAGAAAATATTGGTATTTTTTTTATTTTATTTTTTTGTTCAATATCTAAGTGGTTTTGGGCAAAGTAAAAATATATGGAAATTAATTAAAATACTTAAAAAATATATAAAGTTATTAAATAAGATAATGATTTAATATATTTATTAAATTAGTGAAGTAAAATATTTGATTGTTTATTTTAGTACAGGTTCATAGCCTATAAAACTTGAATAGTAGATATAAAACAAAAATTTTATGAACATTAAGACATGCTTCAGCAATGGCCTTTGTTATAAAACCTGTTTATATTAGCGTGAATAATGTCAGTAAAGAATATTTATTTATTTTTTTTATGTTTACTTAATCATTATTATTTTTACTATAAATATTTATAAGTGTCACTTATTGTGTACGTCTTAATGCTATGTAGTTGGGTTTAGTGTTGCAAGTTAAAGGCAAAACATATGCATATTATAGTAGGATTATCAGCTATCAGAAGCTGATGATATATAATCACTGAATCTTTATGGGCTTGTTAAATACATTTTTTAAAAATCTTATATTTTTATATGTGATAATAGATATTGTAACTCAATAGATTTTTGTGGCTAATTCTTAATTATTCTGAATTCATAAAAAAGTGCTAATTTATCTTATTAGGTTTTGGAGTATGATTCTATAAATTAGGCATTTTATTCATGTATAAAAATGTAATTCTCATGTATAAGTGAAATTATATTTATTAAATATGACATAAATGTCTGAACTAATGTTATAATATTTACAATAGCTTATTTTTAGATTAGATTATAGCATAAAGATAATATTTGTTCTTTGAGTTTTTGTTTAAATATTAATTAAAATTTTGATTAACAGGTTAAACGTGAAGTAGTCGATCGAAGAGTTAAAGAAGAACAAGAAAAATACTCTCATAAATTTACTGAAGAAGCTAAATTATTGTGTAGACAAGTATGATCACCAATCATAAATATTATAATCAGTAACATGACAAACTCAATTATTAATAAATATTGAAAATTAACTGTTATATTTATATTTTAAAAATATTACTCAATTTTAGAAAATTACCTTTTTTTTTAAATAATTTAATTTCAGTTTTTGATTACAATATAGAATATTTAGATTGACATTCTAAAAAAAATTGTCATCCTATTTAATAGAATTATGCAAACTTTTTTAAAACATATATATATATGTATATATTGTGTATTAAAAAGGAATTATATGATTTAAATTAATTAATAATAATCAGTATTTCTGAATTATTTATTTGATGTAAAAATTATATTTTATTCAAAATATGAATGCTTTTTGATATGTAACTTGTGTGCTTTTGCACAAACAACAAATATACTGATAGTTGACTTAGTGGGGTGATAAACTGACATTGCCTGACCATCACTTAAATTAATTGATTACTGTACAGTGTACAGTATTGTTCTTTTATTGGATGGAGTATGTTTGCTTCTATAATGTTAAGTATCAATAACTGAATAGTACACATTTTCCATTGTTTTATTATTTTCATAATTGTAATACTACTATTTAAAATTTTACCTAAACAGTAACAGACAATATACACTTTTAAAATCTTAATATACTTTAATTAAAAAAAAATTAATTTTCAGCTATTGAAAAAATCTCCTAAGTCAAGACTTGGTTGTCATTATGGTCGTTATGGTGCAAGGGAAGTAAAACAACATGATTTTTTTAAGACCATTAACTGGAAAAGACTTGAAGTTGGTGTTGAAGATCCTCCATTTCTTCCAGATGTATGGTTTATTAAATTATATTTTTACTAACTCAATAACTCCTATTAACAATAATATATGTTCTGTTATAGCCCCATGCTGTATATGCCAAGGATGTATTAGATATAGAGCAGTTTTCCACTGTAAAAGGAGTGAATTTAGATGCCACAGATGATACATTTTATTCAAAATTTAATACAGGCTCAGTGTCTATACCATGGCAAAATGAAGTATGTTTTTGATTATCTAACATCTAAACTTAATATAATTGTTGAAAATGTATTTTATATTTAATCAAATTTCATAATTCTGATACTAAATTAAATTAATTAATTTTACTGCACATTCCAACTCCTATTTTTTTCTTCACTTTTCTCTCTAACAAAAACTATTAATTAAAGTTATTATTATTTTTTTTTTAAAGTTTTCTTGAAAAAAAAAAATATACAACATGTTAGTCAATTGTAATACTAAACTACTAAGTTATGTTTTAAGTATGATTTTGTTATCTTACTTGAATGTTAAATAAAGATTAATGATTTCAAATTCATTTTAGTTACAATAAATATTAGTTACAGTAAATATTAGTTTAAATTTATATTTATTATATTTTTAATCTAATTTATAATTATTTGTATTATATTAGATGATTGAAACTGGTTGCTTTAAAGAACTTAATGTATTTGGGCCAAATAAAACGAGATCGCCCGATTTAATTTTAGATTTAAAGCCAGAGCCCGAAAAGACTGGTTGTTTTCCATTTAGTAGAAGAGTAAGTTTACTATAATTAAATATATTATTATTTACATTTTAGAAATAAAGATTTTTATTCTTTTGATTTTATCAAAAAATAACCATTAAGCATACAATATTTGCATTTATTTTGTTTTAGAAAACACAATCAGCTAGATCAAAGCCAGTTCCTATTAAGGATCAATGTTTTCTTAATAAACAAAATAAAATTGCCGACGAAATCTCAAGTTGATGGAATATCACATCTATAGAGTTTAGAGTCTAGGTGATTTAATACATTACCACTGATCCTATAATCTTTTAATTTTTTTTCATCCCTGAAATCTTTAAATTGACAAAATTTGTTTAAATATATTTGTAATAATTCATTTTTATTTTCTTACAAAAACTTTAAATTAAAAAATAATTTATCAAAGATATATGACAAAAGAAAAGAAAAACAATGAATCATGAATATTTGCAATAATAAACAAGGTTAAAAATTTTTTTGTACCCTTTTAATCTAGTATATTCAATTTTCATTGTTTTTTTTTTCTTTAACGATGTCTACAAAAAAATATCTATTCTAATGTTTTAGTCAGTAAGCAAAATCTCATTGCGATTTGTCATACACAAAATTTTCATGTTGGAATTTGTTTAATGAGTTTTTTTTTTTTACATATCTTATGTTTCATATATATATATATATATTATTTTTTTTTGCGTGGCAATTTGTAATTTTGATGGACTTGCTGACTAGTACATTAATGATAAAATTATTATTTTGAAAATGTATAACATAATTACTTAGGCTGTTGATAAAGTGATATTGTTAATTGATTTTATTTTTAAATTTTTATTAACTATAATTTTAAACATTGTTTAATCAGACTAAAACACGCATAAATATGGCTGTAATGTGGCCACTCATATTTTAACCTACTTAAAATGCTACAAAATGTCGATTTCTTTGTCTTCCCATTTGGTTTTAAATTTTATTATTACTAAATTTTAAACCATAATACTTTTACTGTTAACAATCGATATTTAAAGTACAAATTGGAAGAAAACATTTTTTTAGCTACCATGTATAAAATTTACTTAACATTAAGGTTTTCTTTGAATGGTAAAATAATAAGTTAATGTTCACATATTTCATTATTCTGTATAGTTACTTTTTTTAGTCTTCCATAAATAATTGATTACAACTTAAAAATAAAATTAATTTGTTTTAAATCTAAATTTGAATATTATAACAATTATAAAACTTTTAATTATTATGTGTTTAAGATTAAAAAATCGCGTGTAGCAACAAAAACAATCGCAATAAATATAAAGACGAAATACCTCTAACAGGCAGCTGATTTAGTTAATGTTTTGCTGACTCTTGCCACTTTATATATATATATATATATATATAATATTGAAACAAAAAACTTGCCCAAACATAGGTAATAACTATTACCTAACCTTTTAAATTTACTTAGTTAATTTTTAATATTTAAATAATAGATGTCTAAGTAATATAATATTATAAACATAAATACTAAATAGTATCTATAGATTCTATAGAAATTATATATATATTCTAATAAGGTAGCTTAAAAAATGGTTTGCATTATTTTTTTCGTGCAAATATATTAATTATTATTAAATTATCTATATGTAGGTACACATTATATATATATATATACATATATTTATATACGTCATGTATGTATACAAAAATCAATTTTGAATGACTGAAGTAGTTACTGCTTATATAGTGTTTATATAACATTTTATACAATTTATTTTCTACATAAAAGAAAAAAAAATTTATAAAAATAAAGGTCCTAGTCCTCATAACAATTACTATATAATATTTTTTTTTTCATGACTATAAAGCTGTGATGCAAAAACTATTAATAACAAACTGTATTAGTTTATTATTATTTATTAATTGTATTTATTTGTTGTCTACATAATTTTAATTGTAAAATATATAATATTATTAAAAATAGTACATTGTTTGTTAAAATTATTTTCCAGTTTAAATTCTAGTACTTTATAAAATTCAACAGTATATTCGCTTAAAATTTGTAATTTTTTTTTTCAATATATACATGTATAAAAGAATTAATGTGAGTATTTATTATTAATTTTTTTTAGTATTTGAACAAATATAGTATGACAGTAGAAATATTTAAACTATTATTGAAATATGTTTCTTATAAAATGATTTGAGTAATTTAAAACAACTTAAATTAAATTGATGTATCTATTATATTCAAGTATAAAAACTTGTGAAATTTTCATCAATCATAATATAAGTATTTAATGAGATGAGCTCCAATTGTTTTATTTTTTTCATATGATTGGTCCAGCTTTCATAATAATGATTCACTAATAACTGTCCTTTAGCAAAGTAATTCATATTCTTACATTTCCTGTCATCATAATTTATTGGTAAATTTTCAAAATTATATTTGTACTTACCTATTTGACTAACATTTATACACAGGTATCCTTTTGAACCACTATTTTGAAGTACTGAAATATTAACTCTTGACAACTTAATGACCAATCAAAGGTTTAGGTTCTAAAGTTATAGTTGACCATCATCTCATACCGAATGATAAATTATAATATTGGATTTATAATAAAATATTATTAATTTATATTTTACAGAGACTAGTGAATGTCAGTCTATTTATTCGATACAAAAATACAATTATCAAAAATTCTTACATGTAGTTATAATAATAATACTCAACCTTATAGGTGTGATTTTAGGGCTGAAGCTTATCATCCACTGATTTTGAACTTAAACACCCTTATAATTTATGCTATGTATGATTAACTATTATTCTGCTTTTATATCAATAAATAAATTAATACAACCCATATGTTCAGTAAAAAACCATTATTATAAATGTAAACGATTATTTTTGGAATGCTTTTAATAGAAGGCTTCACTCAACCATTAACATCCCAACATTCCCAACATCTACAAACCTAGCTAATGAGCTTATTGTAAAAAAAAATTTAGGTTGTGTTTTCATTGAAATTGTGTCCCTTTAATAAATATACCAAAAATTAAAATTAAAACCACTGTTCAAATAAACGTCAATAAAAGTGCCTAGGTATTAATAATATTAATAATAACTCCATACAATCATCTATTATTCTGTTGTCATGTATTATTACGGACAATAACTATTATATAAACTGTATTATGTGTTTTTAAATAAGTTTAGCACAGTCGCACAGGTTTATACTTCAAAAAGGAAATAGATCGATGCTTGGGTAAGTATTAGGTAAATGTATAATTTAATAATTTAGATAATAGTAATACGTATATAGATAATAACCTAGAATATATTGACTTTGGTAAAATTTGTACGCACATTAAATCAAAGGTATAAATCGGCAAAAAGTAAAATACACTTAAAAAAAAAATAATAATAATAGTAGGTAATTACAAACAATGGATATTAAAAAAAAGCATGAATGCAGCATTATAGGTACTTCTTATTACTAAAAAATAAAAAAATAAATTATAAAATGTACATAAAACAAAACTTAGATGAAAGAATATAATTTAATAATATCATGTTTTTTCGGTTGTCACTTTTTATATACCCAATATCCAGTGACTAATATTTATATTATAGTGTATTGGTGTATACTGTTTTTATAAATTATTTAGCAAACGATTTGTTGTATCACATATCCGTTTGGTATTATATACAAGTCATACAGTATTAAAGTATGCTTCCATCACCATTTTTCATTTAATAATGAATTTATTCAAATTCTGATTCATAAAATTTTTAAATAAGCTTAACAACCATATTTTAAAATTTTTAGGATTTTGTTTACTAGGTATCTAAGAATGAGGGTCATGTGATATGAACTTCTGTCTTTCGTATTAATTGATAAACCTAATTCAAAATTAAAATGTGCAGTTTTTAGTTATTAAAATATTTATATGAAGAATAATAGCCTTTAAAAATTGTTTTACAAAATAAATATTAAATAGTTGAATCTATAGTGTCAATATACTTAGAACATTTTTCAAATTATAATTGCTAGGTATTTTGCTAATAGAGTTATTATTGTTATTAATCTTGATTACTTGAATTTTAAACTCACCATATGTCTTCATCGCGCATTATTTTAGGCTTATTATCCTTAGTGCATAAACTTAAATATTTCAAAAACTACTCGTCAATGTTTTGATTTTGATATGACGAAATTTTCAAAAAATTGTTCTTTAAATTATTAAAGTATAATAAAAAAATAGAAGTTGGTATCTCCACAAGAAACTTCTTAAATAGTCAAAAATAATTTTAGTATTACGATTTATGAAAATACGAGTATTTATATGGTCTAAATATTTGTTTAAAAATCAGATTTTGAGTAGGTAGGTACCCTACTGCATTATTAAAGAAAAATAGGAGCAAGCATTTTTGGTGAATCATTCTGTATACATAATATACAGTATACATAAACTCATACAAATATGATATTTGTCGGTGTGCGGATAAAAAGAAATAGTATCTTTAAGTATGTTTTGTTTGTTGACAGCTTGTTTTTATTTTTCACTGCGCTAATTACCACACCGCTGTGTTCAAATAAGAAATGTTCGTTCAAAAACCCTGATTTCACGGTGTAACATTACGGACAAATTAAATTGTCTCTAATCGTAATTTTGTTCGTCGCTCTTAAGATATTCTTCATGTGTAAGTTTTTAATTTTTTTTAAAGTTTTTGTACAAAATATAATTATTTTTAAGTTATAAATACAAATAAATTATAATGTTAATAGGTACCTACATAATAATAGGGATATTTTAAAATATTATTCACATTAATAAGTAGTGTATCCAACTCACGCTATTTATAATAAACTATTAATTAAACAATGAAAATAAAATTAGAAGCATCTCAAACATAATATAAAATGCACGAAAATGATGTCTATTATATTTTTTGTTTGAATAGGTATTACGATTTTATCGTTAGAATATATTTTATTTTATCCGTAATGTTACATGGTATAATTGTTGAGAGGAGCATTGCTAGCGTAGCATAATATGATTATCGCGATGAAAAATAAAAATATGCTTTGAACACGAACAAATACATATACTCTTAGCACTATTAAAGAGAATGAGTCAAAAATTGCTATTTTTCAGAAAACGACAAAATGTCTTGTTTCTTGTTTGATATTATTTTAATAGAAAAATGAACTTAGTATTGTTTATGGCTAACTAAATACTAGAAATAATATAAAAAAACATTAGTTAACATTTAGTGATAAGAACTAATGTAATAAATTTTAGGTAGGTAAGTATAAGTAGGTGTCTAAAATAGAATTTTCTACAGTGTAAAAAAATAAAATTGACTTATTCTCACTATAGAAATCTGCACACCGATCACATAATATGGCGTGTACATATAAATATAATAGGTATACATATTATAATAAAATAGGTAATATAAATTATGTTAATTAATTATAACACACACACACAAACACACAAACATACACACAAAGGAACTATAAAAACGTAATGATAATATTACATATTATGTAGTTAGGTTTTGGTATAGGTAAGTACTACAGTCTACAATATATATGGTATTTAGGATGACATTATATTAAAATTATACATGTTTTATATATAGATTAACACGCGTATAGGTACTTAATATTAAAATATTATACAATATTAGCTAGCTATTTTTAAAAAGCACTGGAGGTCACACCTACACACACACACTCACATAAGCACGTGTACGCGATCATTATTATGGGATAATCTTTACAAATATAATGTACCCATGAGGATTTATATTCTGAAGAAAACCTGATGAAACTGAGAGTTTTCCAGGAAATTCGATTGTTTAAAATTTTTTGAAAAATTCCTCCAATTTTCCGTAGCTTTTGAGCTAAGGAAAAAATCGTTTTTAATAATAATGGACGTGATATTTTAATTATATAGGTATTATTTATATATATATTATATAAGTAATGTTGGACAAAAATAGTTGGTGATTAAGTTTTAAAATGATTAAATCTATATTTTAAAAATAATAGATTGCAATAAATAAATGCATTCGAATTTCGAATATCTACCCGGTGAATCCGACAGTGCTGAATGATGAATAAGATGGTACATTGTGTATCAATATATTTATGTTAAGACAAAGTAAAAATACGATTTGACAATAAAAAAAAAAAAATAAATAAATATTTAATGCACTAAATCGATCACTCTACGATTAAAAAAACATTTAATGATTCACGAATTTCTGGCATTGTTGTGGTCGAATTTTTGTTAGTTAATTTTTGGAATTATAGCTACGATGAAAAAAAATATAGGTAACACATCATCTGCAGGCTATTTTGAAAAACACATTCATTTATCAAATTATTCAATCAATAGGTTTTTATACATAGCGTGATGAGTGTTTTAAGAAAAAATAAATTATAATGTTATTTAAATTTTAAACATGATCGTCTTACACCTTGTCCTTATTATTAAATTTTTCATCAGCATAAAATATCCGCGGTCAGATATTCGACGGTCTTTGTAATAATTATATGTCTATAAAAAAAAAAAAAAAAAAATTGTGGAAAATTCATTGCATATTATTGTAAATAATTCTTGTACAATTTAATCACAGAATAGGTAATTGCGTACTCTCGGCGTGCTTTAACCATGTAGTGGTTTCCGGCCAACGGTTAAGGGATAATGATTATATAAACGAACTTATAGTGTGCGCGTGTGTATAAAACATATGTACCAAATACGAGTATATTTTAGGTAGATAATCCGCCGATTAATCGACTTAGATACGTTCAGGCCAAGTGAACTCAGTAAAAAACGCAAACAATTTTTTTTTTTTTTTTATTGTTACTGATATAAACATACAAAATAATCCGTTTAAATATAATTAACCGTCGTAAATAAAAGCGTCCGTACACCGTACAACGATATACTAATGCATTACTGTACATATTATACACAGACTCGAGGAAAATTCAGACTTTTACAAAATATAATATGTATTATATTTCACACCGCACAACAGTTAATTGTTTTTCAAGTTTTTCTAGTGTGAAACTTATTATCTTTGGTTGGTATTAGAACGTTATCTATCACGGTGTACCTATCAACGATTTTTGCGTATTTTTCATTCGTACCAAAATATTCGTATTACAATATATATTTCATCAATCATAGAAATAAAATACGTAGAAAGTCGAAAAAAAATATACAAAAAATTAAACTATTTTTTTATTTTTTTTTTTATGGTTTTTGTGTATAAACTTTGCAAAACGATCATTGGCCACAAAAAAATCGGATCACTTCAAAATTTTTTGAAAAACTGCTTGTGTACGCATAAAAATATTTCGTTTGATAATAATTTATTAAATAGTGTTGGTACTCTCTTTGGACCGTTCGAGTAAATATACATATTAAACACGAATGTTATGGTGGTGTTTGAAAACTATTCGAATGGCATAAGGTAGATATAATATGTGTGTTCCGACCGTTCTGTAGAATCACGAGTAAACACTATAAGTCATTTATAATGTAATGAGTAATAATAAATATCATAAAAAAAGAATCGATTAAAAACTAATCAATCAATGTATACGAAATGCTTCTTATAATATGCATAATATTATATAATTAATATGAAATATCTATGTATAATATTGTGCATTGTGGTGTAAAAAACGGAAACAGAAAATTATTGCCTATATTATGGTCGGGAAATAATCTTTATATCACAATGTTTTATATTACACAGTATAATATCATGTACCTAGATACCAATGTATCATCGATATATCTACATATTATTAATTTATATTTACTGTACATTCGGAAAGGATACACATTATGTTTAATGCATAACACCTCGGACATATTTTGTTCGGTATATTTGTTTATACATACACCCATGTACATTATATCGAGCACGCATGTATATAGAAACAATTAACAAACTTTTGAAAAGACTGTTATTGAGGAAAAAAATTAAGTATTATTATCTTTAATATTTTAATAAACAAAATATTGTAAATGTATTGTTATGACATAATTATAATAGTGTTTGACGTCGGTCATCAAAAAAATCTTAATGGTCTATGTGGATATAATGTATAAATAAAATTTTCTTAAAAAACTTTCCGGGGAGAGAGATCGAATTTCGACCCTCTATGTACGTGTTTCTATTATATACTTATGGCAGTATTATTAAATGTTGTAAGGTTGATAGGTACGCATGACCCGTGTGGACGAAGGTCCGGGGAAGTTCGTGTATTACATTATATTATGTGTTATAAATACACGTGAATTATTTTTATATATTAGGTAATATATATATATAGATGCAAATCGATAAAAATTGATAAAAATCATTAAATGAAAAAATCGACTGGAGATATGTAACTGCGTGATATGTGGCGTAAAATTTGAAGGAAACGATACTCTTAAGGACACGGGTGGGGAGAGCAATAACGAACAATGTGATGGCTTGTGGGGTTTACAGTGTAATAGGTTGATACCTATATTATGTTATATACATATAAATATCTACATTTATGTTATATAATTCAAGTCGTATATATAGGTTTTGTAAGGTTTATGTCAACACATTTGTCGTGTGACCGCGACAGGAGCCGATGTAACTGCGACAACCTTAGTTAAATTGATTATAGGTAATGGTATTGGTTTACGTGCCGACAAATGATCAATGTGTTTTACATTATTAGAGTAGGTAATATTGTTGATATCATATACAACAACGAATAGCAGTTATGCACGGTTTACCTATTATACGTATAATTATTACGTCAATCGCTAATCGCGCATAGATATATACTAAATATATTGTAATGATTTTAAGTAGGTTTATTTCTGGATGAGTACAGTTACTACCTATACAATATCCGTAAGAGAGTCTTTCATATCGAATTCGATTATAATATTCCGTGGACTGTGGTCGTCATAAATCAATTTAAATATAGATGTGAACACGCATAAAACCTGTGAAACGAATTATGGAAACCAACAGACCTATTTTTTGTACCATATTATCGATTAATATTGATCTAACACAAACATTGTAAATTGTAATAATTAAAAATAATTATAATTTATCATTTATAGTTGACCAATCGAATTGTAATTCTATTTAGAATCTATGGTTTAGTACATTATTATTAATTTTGAGATTACCTTATTTTTAACTTGAACTATTCATTTCCTATACTGAATAATAAAGATAGAACTTAAAGCATGGATTTCATATAGAGATGCTAGATCGGCAGTCCAGGAATAGTCGTTTCATATGCTTACACTGAATACCGTTAAAACATTACAAAAAATACGATTTCGATCGATAAGCGGAAATCGTGGTTGGTTAAGTGTTTTAAAACTCTAAAATAATTTCTTGGCCCCCTTAAAAACGATTGCAAAAATAGTTTTGATATTTTAGATTTACGAATCTCTCGTTCATGGACAATGATAGAAAATAAGTAGACTTATAATAAAAATAATAAAAATGTGATTGAGTATTTAAATATTTAAATAATTGTATCAACAGAAAAAATATTTTTCATTTTCTACGAATACTTCGTGGTAGGAAATTGTACCGTTAATCATCAAAAGGGTTGCGATCGTACTATCCTATCAAAGTGTTTGAACTTTAACAACGTAGAAATTGTTTATAGGTAGTTACTTAAAAATAAGTATCTTAGGTATTTACATTAAACGACTTAATGAATTTTCAAGTATAAAATAATTTCCAGTCCTTGTGATTTTAAATGCCCATTAATTAAAATAATAATAATAATAATAATAATAATAAATAATAAAAAAAAAACATAAAACATAAAACAAAAGTAGAAAAATCAAAAACATTTTGTACATCCCCTTTACTCCCATAACAATTTTACCAGACTTCCGCTTATGCTTTGATGGCAACAACGGTATATGACACACACACACACACACACACACACACACTATTTACATATTCATCACAACAGATATTCGACAAACAGTCGGTCTATCTGTTTACGACGACCACTATGCTGGGCTGTGAACTCATCAGACGTAACTCTCGTGCGGCAACGGCTGATGGAGTTTCAGCATGCTCGCCGTGGTGATGTTGTTCAACCGCTTGATGATCCGCCGGCCGCCGGCGCCGGACGTCCGGTCGCTCCGATCGACCGCCGACACGACGGTGACGCCGTTGCGCTTCATCCGGGCGTACATGTTGGCCGTGGCCGCGGCGGTCGCCCGGTCGTTGCCGGCCCCGTCGCTCTTCACGCTCGACGTGGCGGTGGTGGTGGTGGTGGTGGTGCCGCCGGTGGCCGAGCCGCCCGCGTGCGCCGAGGTCGTGGTCACCGTGCCCTTGCGGCCCAGGTGTCGGTTGGCCCACGGGCCGCGGCGCAGGCCGCACAGCCGCCGGAACCCGTCCCGGAACTTGGACGACATGAGGTTGTACAGGATGGGGTTGAGCGCCGAGTTGATGTACAGCATGATGCGGCTGAAGAACAGCAGCAGGTAGAAGTTCTTGACGCCCAGCAGCTCCATGATGTTGTAGTCGGGCGGCGCCAGGATGATCCACAGGATGAGCGCCCGGAACGGCAACAGGCACATGAAGAAGGACACGACCACGGTGCCCAGCATGAGCACCACCTGCCGGCGGTACCGGAGCGCCGCCCGGTTGGTGTTGGGCGCCACCGTTCCCGGGTTGGCCATCAGGTGCCGGGCGATGATCACGTACAGCACGGACAGCACGAACAGCGGCACCACGAAGAACACGGATATGGTGCCGATGAAGAACAGCACCGGCCACACGGTGAACGCCTCGGTGCGGCACACCGGCACCAGTGTACCGTCCACGTACTCTTCCCAGTGATATTCGGGCAGCTTGAGCATCGGGCTGCGGACACAAAGAAGAAACACGCGTGCGCGCGCGCGCGACCGACAAAAGGCACGCGCGCGTGCGCGTCGACGATTAGTACACTGTGTCGTATAAAATAACGGCATAATATAGCTGCACCAGTGCGCGAGATCATAAATATTGTCTCGTCGTAATGTCAAAACGTTTGGTCGTCACCGATCGACACTATAATATTATTATATCGTCCGAAACGTTATTCGGTGCAGCATCAGATGATATAACACATAATTATATTATTATCGTACACCGAGAAACCTCTAAATACCGGACACTCGCGGTCGCCCATATATTTTCCACCAATTGCAAGTTTCCGTCGGCAGACACTTGACTACATTATATTCGAACATTTTCGTAGACAATGTAATACCTATATTTTAAAACTATTTTTTATAAAATGTAAGTCGAACAGTGTGATTGTTTTAACGCACTACACTATTATTTTGGTTAGATTTCAAGTGTTACCAGTCTAAATATTTCAACAAAAAAAAAACCGTTGAATAGGCATTTGAACGTAATAGTGATTGATATAATGGCGTTTCGAACTAGAAATTGTGGGCAAGTCTAAATATACCACCAATTTTATTGAAAACCCGATAAAGGCATTCACTTTCATATTGTTAACTACCCTCGTTAAAGTTAATTTAGTATTTACTGAATTATTAGCCATTGTTTTTACCCCGTAAAACTCAAAAGCAGCCGTATCGGTTCTCGATTACCTCTTGGTTACGCTACAGTAACTGATTGAAAGTAGGTATATAACTTTTTAATTTAATAGAAAACAGGCACTGTGGGAAGTATTTTATATTATTAATATACACTTTCAATATATTATTATGTTACGTTATGTATCAATTTAATTGTCTTAGATTTTATCACAAAAATATAAGTTAGAATATAGTTTGTCGGGAAAACAAGTACCGAAAACAGACCTAAAAAAATAGGTCAATATAACGCTAATTATAATGAAAATTTGAATAATACTCACGATTATTAAACGTTCGTGAGGTATTTGGGAAAGATCTATAAAATCTAAAATTATAAAACTGTGGTTTTTCAAATTTTAATCATATTACTATTCTTGTGTTTTTAAAACTAATTTAAATTTTTAACATTATGAATTTATGTATTTTTTCTATTTTTTATCCTGTGTTATATTACTTTCATGAGATATTTTTTTGGAATTAATTTGACATTTGATTTTTTTTCAGAGATATTTTGACCGATCACCGTACATATGATATAATATAACATATTTCTATGTATAAATATTGAATATATGGAACTAATACTTGGTTTTCGTAAACTTTCTAAGTTTAGAAATGAAGAATATTGTAAATTGCAGTGGCTCTATTCGTTGATCATTTCTCGCATTCACTATACAATGTATAGTATACATATATTCCATTCTAATTTAATATGAAGTAAATTCTAAAGCGAATGCTTGTAAATTGAAAACTATTGATCTATTGGTCAATGTTTATACACACGAGTGGGTTTTTGGAAAAATATTTTGCTCTTTACAGTGTGTTATCATATGTATGGAAAGAGTAAAATTCAGTATTAATTGGTGATTTGGTGAGATTACAGTGTACCCATAAACAATTACATATTATTTAGATTTGAAAATTATAAACAAATATAGCAGATTGAAAAAATTAGAGTTGTAGTGCGTTAAATGAATCATTCGACGTAGTGTATTATGTGTTTCCTTTTAAAATGAACACTAAAAATGTATATTCAATAACATAGAATTTAAGTAAGGTTTTCTGAGGGATATAGAGCAAATAAAGAATACTGGAATATACATTTTTTTTTTCTATTTTAAAATGTTTAGACCTTTCATGTGCCAATGCACAATACAACTTGCATTTATTTTAACAAAAACTGTATTTACGATATAAAATTTGGATAAAGTTTCTTGGGTCTTAAACTAAAATTGACTGAACGACTTAAGGTTGATGAGACTAGGTTAAAAATGTGAAATTTTGAAAAACCAAGAAAAATTGTTGAAAATTTTAATAATTTAATCATATAAATTGAAACTTTTTATCAGTTTTGAATTAAAATTATAGTTGAAACGACAAAACGACTTAAATTATTAATTTATCCAAATATAGTGTTGAAAACACACGCTGACGTTTAAATAAAATGCAAATTATATTACTCATGAATGTAACAAAAAGGCTAAAAATGTGTACTTCAAAAATATTTATTTTTTTTAATAGGAAGCATCTCTTTAATGTATAAAAGTATTTAAGAACGAGAGTATGGACCGGTTGTGTACAATATAATAAATATTTATGTATTATATATCTGGAACTGCAGATAACAATAATACATACCAATCTCGCTAGCGTTAAACCTAATAATATTTGGCGGGGTCAATATTACATATAATATTATAAAGCAACGTATGCGCTGCAAGTTGTGTTTTATCGTCACCATGGGCTCAATTTTGTACAAGCAACAATCTTCACGGTCAGATGATCAGCTCTTGATTTATGTAATTTGAAGCCTGGAGCGATATAAAAACGTATAGGCTTCTCCCTACTTTATATATATAATATTTTGACGGAACTACGAAATATAGAAATATAAATAGTAATAATATATATTATATCAAATTTGTGTCTGAAGTAGAAAATTTTTATCTTTTAAATGCGAAAAAAAATCATAGAAATCAATACATTGATACCATTACTGTGTATTTGTATACACGTTTTTTTTCTTTTGAAATGGTAAGCATTCTATTGAAATGTGTTTAAAGTCCATAAACATACATATGGATTGCGTTAAACACAAAAATAACCTAGTTGCAATTATTGCTTGATAAAGTAAATAGATATATAGAATTATGTAGCATGTTCGGCAGGCATAAGAATGAATAATATTAATATGTGTTTGTACATGTCCATACATGACACCTTTTTAAGTCTCACGAGTTGATCATGTAATCTTTTTTTCGGTGCTTTTATTTGAAACATTACAGGCACATCATGTAATCTTAAGAGAGTTAATTTATTTTTAGAATTTGTTATCTAACGATTAAGGACTACTTTCTTACATATAGGGACTAAGTACCTACACTATTAACGAGCACGACTATTGGTATGTATTATGTTAATTAAAATAATAATATTGTTGCAGAAAATTTATAAGCTCCGAGTGACGGCCGCCGCCGTACGATAATAATTTATTATTTTATATTGTATCTCATATGTTGAAACAAGCTGATTGAGAGATGTCGAAGTATTTGAAGTACCTGCAGCGGCAGTTTCCCGGAGCTTCTTTGTAAAACACAACAAAAATGTATTAATATTATACATGTTTATATATAATATATGGAAATATTAAAATCATATAACAAAAGTAGATTGTTTTAATGATACAATATTATAACGACAACAAGCGATAAGAACCCAAAACCATTTGATCGCATATGAAAGGCAGTTTTAGCAAAATAAGTATACGACAGTTATTCTATTTATATATATATATATTTATAAATATATGACACGGTCATGAACTTACCATAGTTCATACTCAAAGTTTCGACTTTGATATACATAAACTGAGGGCACAGGTTTGGACTGAATCTTTGGGATATCGATAAAATGTTTTGGTGAGCCAATATTTATTGTACATAATCACTAGCCATGAGAGTCATAGAAATAAATTTTAATATGTAATAATAAAATGGTTATTAAAAAAGTTAGAAAAAGGTTTGTTGGTTTGTTTAATCTAATCCAATCTAATGTATGTTAACTAATCATTTCGAAAAGTAAAAACTGCTTAATTTCCTAATTTCCCACTCACACATACAAGTATATACTCTATAAAAATGACACCTGTAGAAACCACTCTCAATTGCATTTAATGTACGTATACATTCAACTACAAAAGGTGTAAATTAAACAGCTTTAAGTTTTAATGAATTTTTGTAACATTATTTTTTTGTATCAGTTCACCCGTGGTAATACCAAATACCACATATCTGATTATTAATCTATTAAGTCAAAATGATAACGCGAGTACAAGACCGTGTCATACATATATATAATTTATATATTATGTACATTCATAAATAGGAATACATATTTTTTATACGTAAAAAGTATTTTTATTTAAAATGGTAATTGTGTCATTATACACATTTTAATTGTGAAACTATTGTCGTATAAACATCTGAAACGATACGGACGTCACGAAAAATGTACAAAAGACGAATACACATCACTAATCACTATATTATACTAAACATGAGCTGCACTTATATTAATGACAGCGTTTTATGCGAAAATGAAAACAATACCGATGTACATAGCGCTCGCAAATTTAGCAATACCTAGATATTTTTCCGCATTTTATACGATATTATCATAATAAAAATTATGTATAAAGATTTATATACTCGTTACGTATAGGTATTTATTATGTATTCGTAATAATACATGGAAAACGCCATCGATTAGATAAATATTATTATTATTATTATCATACTAATGCCGTGAATCATGATGTGTTATATTTTAATATATTGCAAAAATAATTATATCATTTTTTAAAGTCATATTATGATAATAAACGCAAAGCTCGTACTCATAAAAAAATTCGAGAACCGCAACAGCGCAATATGCGATTGCCTCCAAAAACCGATGAGTCGTTTTACGTTTACAAGAAAAAAAAAAAAAATTATAAATAACATTTACAAAAGCATCTATATTCATATACAGGCTACGAAAAAATCATAACGCAATTTAAGCGCTTATTGTAATGATAGTAAATAATTGTTTTAATAATAATAATAATAATAATAATAACAACAATATGATTCTTAATCGTGTAGCTTTTGTAGTATTTCATTCGCTCACAATTATGACGCACTATATAGTAACAATAATAATAATAATAATAATAATAATAATAATAATAATTAAAGCTTGCCCAAGCCGCAATAGTATGATAG